TTCTAGTGCAAAGCTACTCACGGATCCAGAGAGACAGGAACTTTCTGCAGTTCTGTCTGCCGTTTCCTTTGAGAAGAGAATGATTAAAAAAATGAATAGTTGGTATCTTGTCCTTATCATCATCCATAGTCCCTGCTCCTAAATTTGATGCATTGTGTTTTTATCTCGATCAGGAAATGATTGCAAGCTAGAAAAGCTTAAATTTTAAAAAATAATGGAAATAATTGTTGCATCTTGAGGGAAACTGCCAGATCAGAAGGAAAATTTGTTTTATGTTTATGCTCTATGCTTCACTGTGGCAGTCAACTCTATTAGTCTCCAAAACTAAGGTTATTAAGTCTTGAGGGGTTTGGGGGGAGGGTCTTATTAAATGTTTAGAAATTAATATGAATTTTGTGATTAAAATACCAGCAGGACTGTATCATATAGACTTTTCAGCAACATTTGCTAATATCTGCTGAGTATGAGAACACTACATGCCATGTCAGAATAAATATGCACATCAAGGACTGACCAATTCTAAAGAATTAATTTCCTCAAGAGATGATGACACAGGAAGCAGAAATAGAAGCACTGGTAGGGGGAAGAGGAGTAATCTTTCATAAGGATTTAAAATGCATAACCATGATAGTTAAGGCTGTCGTGCTTGCTTCAGAAGTTTTTAAAAAAACGCCTTCACAAAGACTGCCGTGACAAAGCAATCAACGGAGTTCTGCAAACAACTGTCTAGAAATTTACAGACATCTGAATTTTAATATTTTAATTGGTAGTGGGCGGCATTTATATTTTTTGTCAGTGATTATGGTTTCAGTAATGACAGTTGAGCATCTCTGTACACGTCCACAATAGATTTTCAACATTTGGTTGATTTAGCCATGAATAATTTGTTTTCTATTGTGAAAGCAAAATTAATTGTATATGATAGGGTTTTTTTGTATTGTAAAAATTTATAACTGGGGGCTGGGGATTTAGCTCAGCGGCATAAGCACCTGCTTGCAAGTAGGCAGTCGTGAGTTCGATCCCTGGTACCGATAAAAAAAAAAATTTATAACTGGATGTTTAATGTACTTTCTGAATGGACATTTATTTCAATGATGTTGGTTATTGTTGGAGGCAGACAGAAGATCAGTAATTAAAATTCAGAGAGCATAAAAACTATTTCTAAAGGAATGTGGAGGTACACACCTGTAATACTACCCTGTGGGAGACTAAGGCAAAAGGATCCCAAGTTCAATCCCAGGCTGGGCCATTTAGTGGGGCCTGCCTCAAAAAAAAAAAAAAAAAAAAAAAAAAAAAAAGACAGATGATCCATCAGTGCAAAGGCCCTGGGTCCAATGCCCACTGTTGAAGAAGGGGAAAATTGTTTTGTTCCAGTAACTATTGTAGTAATATTTTAGGCTATGTGATAAAAAGTTAGATATAAACTGCTTTCAGTATCAGTTCCTTAAAATACCTGTACATCAGTAAGAGATAAAATGCCCAAAGAGAAAACCATTTAAAAGAGAAATAACATCTCAGAACTAAGGTCTTTTTCTAAGTAAACTAGCTGTTCTGTTTTGTTTGTTCTGTGAGACAAGCTCTCACTGTGCAATTCAGGCTGGCCTTGAGCTCACTTCATAGCCCTGGCTGGTCTCGAACTCGCAATGATCCCCTGCCTCAGCTGGGTGCTGGGGTTACAAGCGTGTGCCACCGTGGCCGACTACTAGTTCATATATTTTGTGGTTTGTGTAAACAATCTTATGTGTAGTACCAGATTTTGAGAAAACTGAGATTACTATTTCTGTATTGTATTGTTAAATTATAAAAAAGGAAAGTTACTCTAGTGATCTGATTTATTTTTTTTGTACCGGGAATCAAACTCACAACCTTGCACTTGCCAGGCAGGTGATGTGCTACTGAACTGTATCCCATTTTGTTTTAAAAGTCTTTCCTGTAAGCTACTCAGTTGTACAGGCTGTAAAGATAATATGTACATGTTCTGTTTTTCTTGCCATTTTTAAATAAATGTAGGATTAAACTTCCAATATTGAAATTTCTCTGATGTGCAATAGAATTTTCTTGTGTTGCTTGTTTGTTTTGATGCTGGGAATTAAACTCACAACCTCATGCTTGCCAGATAGGTGCTGTGCTGCTGAGCTGTATTCCTGGCGGAATAGTAGTTTCATATATGTCATTGCTGTTATTATTTTATACATGTGAGTTTTCAGGTTATACTTTAAAGAGTTTTTGTTCACTGTTTGTAAAAGTTAACAGTTGGGCCACATGGACTGCCAGAGTTGAGCCACTGATGGACATGGTTAGCACAAAAGATTATCGTATATTTCTTGTCTGTTTTTCTTCTACTTTAAATAGGAAAGCACCAACCTTCTATGTAGATACTATAATTTAGGTAGCATCTGAATCACAGTTTACTCTGTTAATCTCATCCCAAGTATTGGTTTCTTTCTAATTTGTTAAGATTAAATTTTTACCTTTAATTCGGACCCTGTCGGATGTGAGTTTGCCACTTGGTAACTGTTAAACGTTTCTCTCATCAGTGCCAGCTGCAGCGTGTACCCTGCCTAAGGTGTGCCACTTACTGGACAACATTTTTTCCTGTTGTCTTCCTTGCCTTCTCAGTTGTTTGACGCACAGAAGAGCCTGAATATACCATCACTCCTTCCGTTTTCTGAATTCCGCTGTTTCTTTCTGTCTTTCAGAATAAAGTAAAGCTGGGGTGAGAGTACACTCAGAGTGTCATGCCGTTCTAGCTTCATGCAGAAAACACAAAAGCCGGACCTTGGTCTTCTACGGGATACCCCCTTTCTTTGCTTTGTTTTTTGTTGGAGATCAGTGGCCTTTTGGTGATAAATCAAATCTTACACTGCATTTAACTCTTTGGAAGAGAACCTCAGGTTGTCCCTGTCTCCTCTGGTTCTCTGGTTCCTCTGATTTCCAGATCCTAAATCAAGATTCTCGACCCATGCTCGACCAGAGTAGAGATTATAATATGTCCTCCAAGACCTGGTTTTTTCCTACTTCTTCCCCAGGTCTCTTTATTGGGCTGTCAAGTGCAGTGCAAAGCATAAACCTGTTTAGTACTTTATAAAAGTTAACAGAGGGTGAAGATACAGCTCAGCAGTGCAGTGTTTGCACCAGGTCCTGAGTTCAATTCCTGATACCAAAAAAAAAAAAAAAAAATTAACAGAGAAAAGTTATAGTTATAGTCATTGATTAGCAAAGAACAGCTTAACAGACTTATTCCACAATACTCAGCTTTTTAATCCAAAGACCCTAGTACTTTATCTTGGACTACTATGCTTGCTTTCTTCCTGGTGTGGTCATTCTCTTCTTTCTTTTGATCCTAAAGCATGTATTCATTCAAATCCTCTTGTTTTGTTTTATGCTCGTCTCACCCAGAAAATCTTGGAGCTGGCTGGACTTTATTCCCCTCAAACAACACATGCCATGCGTTTTTGTTGTTTAGCTTCATGATCTTGCCCTAGTTAGTTCTGTGGTCTACTGATACTTCATTTACAGTGTTCAGTACCATGCAGACGGCTCTTAAATGCAGAACAGTCACCTCCACATCAGTTAAACCAAGCCCTGTCTCCATGTACTGATACGTACAGAGCTAGTTAAGCAAATTTCTTTTCCCTTGAACTGGCTCCAAGCAATGTAAATAAGGCTCTCTGAGGTTCTGATATGTAATGTTTGAAGCCAGCCGGCTTGGGTTGACTTCCCAGGGTACAAAAGTTTCCATATCAGAAACTGAAGGCACAGCTTCCTAAACCATTCAGATGCTACCCAGTTGAGTTATACAGATTGGTCTTTCTGTATCCCCTTCTCCCTGCATATTGCAGAGCTGCTTTCTCACCACCTGGCCAGCTCAGCTCATACTGCATAATTTGCTATTCTCACCGTCACTCATCCTCGAGCCGCTCCCTTCTTCATGAAATAATAAATTCTGGGTGAGGCCTTGAGTCAAGGCCTTTGTTCATATATCTTCACCTGAACAGGACTCAGGACTCCTTGGCTGTCTGTAATTATAAATATGTTTTAATGTCTTTATTCTTGCTGTGGGTTGTGCTGTAGGTGGTAGATTAAAATTCACTCACCAACATTCCAATAATTTTCCATAGGATTACAAATACAGTTTCCATACTGCAAGGCAGACAAGGAAGGAGATCACTGTGGTTAGATTATGATGATATGATAAGAGATTACAATATTGGAATTACATGAAAGGTCCTTTATAGACTTTTTTTTTACTTGAACCCTAAGAAAGGGATACTTTTTAAAGGAAAACTCTTATTTGCAGTCCTCAGCACATAGTCCATGCTTAATCTGCTGAAAAGATACATGGATTTTGAGTTTTACTCCCAGGATAAACATATCATAATGATAATTAAGTTAGCTCTTCTCCCTTGTCTGGCTCTCTGGCACCTAAATTTATTTACTCATAAGACACTATTGACAAAGTCACCTTTATCCACTAAGTTGAAGTCTCATTATGAGTAAGATCTATTTTCAGCACAGGTCAGGATGAAGAGATGCTTTCTGCCTTGCTCCGTGGCCTTTGTTGGTTACAGTGCTTCCCAAACTCCCCATTTCCTAGAGAAGCTGTTCTATGATCTGCCTACCCCTAAAAACCCCACACTTGAAAGATGTTAGCTACCAAAACTACATCCAGCATACTTACTTTATTGTATCTTGGTTATTCGAAAACACAGGAACTGCAAGTTAAGCCTTTCTGTTTAAGAAAGGAACCTAGAAGAAAAGCCTGCTTGGGAGCTAATGGCACATTGCGCAGATCTGCATTAAGTACTGAGAGTAATTCACAGCGGCATCTTTACTATCACAGACCCTTAAAGGTGCAGGGAATCCTCAGAGCAACACGGACCCTGTTTAGGCTGCCCCGCAAAACACCAGATTTAACAGTCAGGAAGATGAGCAGAGATGCTTGTGTGTCCAAGTGAGCATTTAGATTGATGCCTTTCTTTTGCTTTCTTTGCATGTAGATTGAATATGAAAGGAAGAAGAAAGAAGACGGAAAGAGAGCTCGGGCGGACAAACAGCATGTTCTAGACATGCTATTTTCAGCTTTTGAAAAACACCAATATTATAATCTTAAAGACTTGGTGGATATCACGAAACAGCCTGTGGTATGTACATGTTCACATTGCTCTCTTGTGTATCTCCTGCTTTGTTAACACGTCAGACTGAAATGTAACCTTCCTGTATGATTAAATTTATAGTCATTTATACCAATGACAATTTACATTGACATTCAGAAACGTGTCTTAGTGCAGCTACTTTTTTGTAACATGAGCTTCATTATTTTAGATTTCAAATACATTTACTATCAGTAATTCCATGTGAAGAGAAGAAATTACTCTTTTGATTTATTCTTGACAAATCTGAAGGCTTTGTTATACATCAGCATTCCACTTTTTGTTAAAATATTAGTTTAAATTCCCAAGAATATAAGTAGTTATTTTAATAGAGAAGAAGAAAGTGCTCATGCTGCAGTATGATCAGTTCACCCTAATGACTTCGCTCCCTTTGGCATCAAAGCCTTAGAAACTACATTCCAAGCTAGACTTAAAAAATTGAAAAAGAATAATTCATTAGCTAACCAGTGTTTCTTCTAGTTTTAATGACATTTATCTGTGCATTTTATATATAAATGTATATGTAAAAAGCTATTCCAGAAATTTTGAAAGCAAACAAAACATTCTTAAGTAATAAAACATGCACAAAATTAGATACAGAAAAACAGGCAGCTGTCGTGGGACGTCCCGATAATACCAGGAAAAGTAGTTTCTTTGCCCTTCCATATAAGGCTTCTTCATTTTGCGTCAGAGACCAGATTATTAGAGTGCCTCTGTTTTGATTCTTCAGATAATTTTTTTTGTATGTCAGTACTTAATTGAATCTCTCATAATAGCGCCTCTTGACTCATGATCGAGGGGGGACTAGCTTCAGAGCAGCCATTAACTGCCTGAGTTTATGCAGAAATATTTGGATTTTTCTGGGAGCAAACCCATAGTATGTATCAGCTTTTCTAGAGAATCACTGATCTAGAAACTGTGTGCTTTATATTAGTTTAATTATTTAGAAACTCCTTTGACAAGCAGATTATACCTTACCAATAAATTTAGTAGCAATTCAGTAAAGAATGCATTTATCTTAAAAGAAAAAAAATAAAAAAGGAAAATCCTCGTCTTCGAGGACCATCATATTTTCCTCAGGGAAGTTGACAGGCAAAGTGAGGTTGGAGGACAGAGAGCCAGTGTCAGGAGAACACTGTAGAGAATGCCTGGAGATAGGCCAGAGCTCGGGCATCCCCACCTGCAGAGTTAGGGAGCAGTGAACAGCGGCTGTAAGGCCTGCTGCTCACCCCGTCAGGGGAGGCGGTTCATCCCTAAAACTGAGGCAGGAGACCAGTCCTTATGACCCCTTCCGATTCTCAGTCTGGGATTCTGTTCCTCTCTTACTTCACCTCCCCTCTCACATTGGAACTGAGTTGACAAAGCCCAGTCTTTTGTATGTAGGTAAATAACCTGTTAAAAAGATTCCTAGAACTTAAGTGAGTATATACTAACGGTCATCAGTAGACTGCTGTTAACTGAATTTTGCTCTGAACAATGCCATGAGAATTTAAGGAGTCCAGTCTCTCATGAAGATCATGCTCCAGACAAGGATACTTTCTGGTATAAGGGGAAAGGAGTACTGGATTTGGAGTAATAAAATCTCATTTCAAGTTCCAGTCCTCCCATTTAGCCACATAGTCCTGGACTAGTTACTTAAGTAAATTTAATACATTATTTGTGTATTTAATTTGCTTAACATGCCGGGTGTGGTGGCTCATGCGTATAATCCCAGCACTGGGGAGGCTGAAGCAGGAGGTTCGTTGTGAGTTTGAGACCAGCCTGGGCTACAAAGTGAGTTCAAGGCCAGCCTGAACCGCATAGAGACCCTGTCTCAAAAAGACTAAAAAAAAAAATTTACTGCACATATAACATACTTAATATAAACTTACCAATATTTATAATATTAAAAGATTTACAAAATAATACTTAATAGCTGGGGATTTAGCTAATCGGTGTAGTCCTGGCAAGCATGAGGTTGTGAGTTCGATCCCTGGTACAAAAAATAATAGTAATAATAATAATAGTAATACTTAGTTTAGAAAATTCTTGTGATAATTAAATGATCGTGAAAGGTGCTTTGTCAGCTGCAAATATTTTACTTGCATTACTACTATTATTAAGTACTTTTAACCTCTATATGTATCACTCTTTCTTTTGCTTTTTATTTGTGTTTTGGGGGGTTTATTTTTTGTCTTTTTTGAGACAGTGTCACTATGCATTTCAGGCTGGCCTTGAATTCACTTTGTAGCCTGGGCTGGCCTCCAATTTGTGATGATCCTCTAGCCTCAGGCTCCCAAGTGCAGAAAGAGTGAACGTTTCTTATCAGGAGCAAATAAGTCAATTTGAGAAAACTGTGTACAGAGAGATATGTTTATATGGTTTGATTTTTGCCTCCCCTTCCCCCTAAATTGAAAGATTAGAGGAAACCTATTATTTCTCTCTGGCACTTGCTGGTCTTTTAACCTTGAACATATCTGATCTTCATATTTTGTTATATCAATGAAATAGATACACATTTCTTCTAAAAATACAGATCAGCTGGGCAGAGAGGCACTTGTCTGTAATCCTTGCACTCTAGGAGAAGGGGAGCACAAATTCAAGCCCAGCTTATGTAATTTAACAGCTTACTGAGACCCTGTCTCAAAATAAAAAAGGGGTGTTTCTCAGTGCAAAATCCCTGAGTTCAGTCACTTGTGCCTCAAAAGAAATAAAGAGACCATTAAAAACTTAATAGGTACTTAATTGTACCTATCGAAACATCAAACCACGAAGAACACTCAGAGCCCTAGACTGTTTCCTAAGATAGCATTCATTTACCAGTGTTCTTTAACTGTATGTTTCTTTTAAAAATAGCACAGAAAAATAAGTGTCACAGAAAATCAGCTCTGACAATAAATGAACCTCTTTGTTTCTCTATATGCTGCCCTCCCAATTTCAAGGCAAAGTTCAAGAAATTTACCTCTATATTTTTTTAAATTTATCTCTATTGATGATCCTTCTACGTCTGGTTCGAGTCATATCAACCCAGTTGAACCAACCACCTTTTAATTCAGAAAATGTAGTTGAACAAATGGCATGTTGTTAGTAAAGGAAGTTCAAGTCAACATGAGAAATGAGGGCAGCCCCTTGGGCCTCCCGTCGCTCAGGAGCTGTGCCTGATCCCATCCCTTTCCTCCAGCACATTGTCCTGCTCTTCCTTTTTAAAAAGACAGAAAGAAAGACAGACAGACAGACATATACTTAATTTTTTATATACATATATATACACACACATACACATACAGATGTTGTTTCAGCTTGTCCCACTAGTGAGACAATATGATGTTTACACATACGTGTCTGATTTATTTCACTTAGGAGCATGGTCTCAAGTTGTGTCCATTGATCTATCAAAGTCTCCAGTTTATCCTTCTTCATGGCCGAGTGGTATTCCATTGTATAAAAACACTGTACCTTTTTTGTGTCCCATTAGAAATTGTACTACTTGGGGCAGGGGATTTAGCTCAGTGGCATAAGCACCTGCCTTGCAAGCAGGCAGTCCTGAGTTCGATCCCTGGTACCGATAAAAAAGAAAAAGACCAAAAAAAAAAAGAAATTGTACTACTTAAAAAGTGGGTGCACATGTATTGCTGTGGTATGATTTTTAATTCTTTCGGAAAGATACCCAAAAGAGGAATAGCTGAATCAAATGGGACCTCTGGTCCTAGTTTTTTGAGGAATCTCCACAGTGATTTCCATGTGGTTGCACCAGTCCTGCACTCCCACCAACGGTGGAGAAGCGCTCCTTTTCCACACAGCGCCTACAGCATTTGTTGTTGGCTGTTTACTTGGTAGCAGCCATTCTTTCTGGAGTGAGGTGAACCTCAATGCTGTTTTAATTTTCATCTCTCGGATGACCGGTGATGGTGAACGTTTTTTCACGTATTTATTTGCTGTTTGTACTTCGTCATCTGAGAAGCGTGTATTCATCTCAGATGCCCGTTTTTGGATTGGGTCTTTAAATCTAGAGGACTGAATGTTTTTTTCAGTTCTTTATATGTTCTTGATAGTAATCTTTTGTCTAAGGTACATCTGGCAAACGTTTTCTGCCACATTGTGGGCTGTCTCTTCACTCTGTTGGTGGTTTCTCCTGCTGTACAAAAGCTTTTCAATAGGATGAATCCCATTTAATTCTTTGTGAGAGTTCTTGTGCAATTGGGGTTTTGTTCATAACGTCCTTGCCTGTGCCAGTGTCTTCAAGAGTTTTGCCTACTACAAAAAGTGGGGTCTGGGGGTTTAGCTCAGCAGTATAAGTGCCTGCTTAGCAAACTCAAGGTCGTGAGTTCAATCCCTGGTACCCCCCCACAAAAGAATTGTACCTACTCTCTTCCAGCACATTTAATGTTTCTGTTTTAATATTAACATCTTTGATCCATTCCAGTTTTCACTTAGTGTATGGTGAAAGATATGGGTCCAGTTTTATCTTTAGTATGTGCAGAGCCAGCTTTTCAGCACCATTTATTACAGAGACTACCTTTCTTCCAGTAAATGTGTTTGACACCTTTGTCAAAGATAAGTTGATTAGTGTGTCTGGAGTTGTTTCTGCATCTTCTAATCTGTTCCATTGAGCTTTGGATTTATTTGGGGTTTTTTTGTTTATTTGTTTGTTTCGTTTTGTTTTGTTTTGCCAGTACCACACAGTTTTTATCACAGTAGCTTTATAGTATAATTTCAAGTCATGAATTGAGATGCCTCCTGTCTTGTCTTTGTTGCCCAGGATTGCCTTTGCTATTCTAGTCTCTTCTGTTTCCAGATGAATTTTAGGATTGTTTTCTCTAGTTCTGTGAGATATACTATTGGAATTTTGATTGAGATTGCACTGTGTCTGTATAACAGTGTTGGAAGTATAGCCATTTTCACTATATTGGTTCTTCCTAACCCAAGAGCACGGATGTCTCTTCATTTTCTAATATTCTCTTCAATCTCCTTTTTCAGGGTACTATAGTTTTCAATATAGGGATCTTTTACAT